TTGGTGACATGATTAATAGAGTGTTTTCTTCTGGATTTTACAGGTATGATGTTGATTCGTTTATCTCTCACCGATTTCTTAACTCAGGAGAACCTGTAAGCATTTCCTATTTCTTCTGGAACTAACACCATATAACCGAATCCAGGCATTGTGGAATATGCTAAACCTATCTTAATGAACTTTTTAGCAAGACTCTAAAGTAGCTCCTAATTATATTTCATTTACAACAGAAATCAAATCCGTTATTTATGTTTGCGATAACCAATTCAATATTTTTGCAGGAGGTTCTTGTGAGATTTGTGAGCCTTGGATCGGAGGAGGATGAATGGGTAAACATAAGAAAGGCAGTTCGCGAGCGTTCTGTTACTCTTGAACATTCAGAGTGTAACAAAGTGAAGGTTGGAGATCTTGTTTTGTGCTTCCAGGTACCCTTTCCATTGGAATTTCTTTTCCCAATATTGCTACAAGGAAAACATAGAAATATTTGAATTTTCAATTCATGATTACCAAGAAAAAAGGATTTTCTTAGAGTGCTAGGCTGGCGTGCACAATGGAAGAAAAAGATTCATATAAGTGATACTTATTAGTTAGGAATAGGTTTTAAATTTGTTAGAGAACCATATATATATATATATATATATATATAGATATTCATACACACACGCGCGCGCGCACACTTATTTTCCCTACTATTATTTATTGTGGCATGATAATGATATGACTTGAGCTTGAAGAAAGAAGTGAGAATTCATATCGCCACCCAACTTTGTTTAGGACCGGGGCGTAGTTGTTTTTGTTGCTTGGGTGGTGTGCTAAACTGCTAATAGAAAAGATTGAAAAATCATCAAAAATCAGGAACATTGTGTCATTTTAAAACCGGTGTATTTCGAATGCCCAAGTGCCCCACTAACACAAAATGATTTAGAAAGATTCTTCTTTCTCCATGGTCCTCAGTCAGGGTATCCATAGCTTTAAACTTTTATCGGTCAAATCCTTATTTCATTTTGAGGGTAGTGCAGATAACTTCTTATTTTGTGTTCTGTTCATCTTCATTAACTAGGAGGGAAAGAACCAATCAAAATATCTTGAAGCTCATGTTGTAGAGATTCAAAAGAGATTGCATGACATAAGGGGCTGCAGATGTCTCTTTGTGATTCGATATGGTCGTGATGACACCGAGGTAGGTATTGGTAATGAGCATACACTATGGAGATGGACTGAATTTACCAGATTTTACAATTTCTTGCTTCAGGAAACAGTTCGTTTGAGGCGATTGTGTGTTCGACCAAGCATATTAGGGCGCCCATGACTGTAGTTTGAACTTTGAATATACTACATGCTGCCAGCATATGCTACTCAATCATAGAATCGATTCCAGTCAAGGTGAAAAAAATCCGATGATCCCGTCACCCCTGCTCCCGGATTTTGATCCTACTCCTCTATCTGAGAGATACAAAAGAATCTGTGAAATCCATCTGGTGAATTGCTGCCTTAGGTGTATAGCTATTAAATGGGGAGAACATCTTGTTTAGCTTAACATGGCCGTCTATTGTGAATAATTAGCTCTAAAAACAACATGCGAAAAGCAAAATTTTGATGGTACTTTAATGTCATTATTGATTGTTTAAGCCTCTGTTTGACCATAGATTTTGGCAAGTTTTTTTGAAGTTTTTCTTGGCAAAACGTGTTTGTTTATAGATTTTATCCATATCTTGGCAGAAAGAAACAATTTCATCGATTGCATTTTACAAGCGCCCGCCTATCTTTGAGCTAGTCCCGAAAATGTCTTATAATAATGATAGGCAAAGATTAATAAATAAGTTACCAAATTAGAACCATAAATAAAATTACCAAATTCCTTTAGGATTTCTTTATTTTTTTTTCAAATGCAATTAATTCCCATCCCCCCAAAATCTAATTACCTTAATATTTTCTTATCCATAACTAGTAAACCATGACAACTATAAAACCAAGTAACACTTACCACCTTTCTCAAGACATGAAAATAATCATGAATTCCTTCAAATTCTATCTCTCAGCTCTAGTCCTTCTACAAATTCTAACTTTTTCCAAAGCGACAGTTTATTATGTATCGATAACTAGTCGATTGGACAATCCAGTATCTATCCAATGCATAGCTCAAGGTCACATCGTTTGCAAAGACAGCCGCGCCTCGTGGCGTTGTTCTTGATTTCTCTATTGATACCAATGCTCCTAATCCTAATGCTTCATGTAAAATGAATTCTGGAAATTTACATGGAAATTTTGTGTTATTTGATCCCTCAAAAGACCCTGGGAGATGTTCAAATGATGAAACATGCCAATGGCTATTAAATCCTGATGGTATTTATATATTTACTATTGACCATATAACTTAAGTGTATAAGTGGTCATAAAATTGTTGTTTGTATGTGTAAGGGGAATATTGGCAAGATTTTATATGTCTTCCTAATTATGATTGAAATATATTCTATCCTTTAAGGTATTTTTTTTGTTTAATCGTTTGGTATTCAAAATTTATTAATTAAACTAATTTTGATAGTCAATGCTTTTCCTTTTTAGTGGGCTTTACGAGCCTATTAAATACTTATCCCTCATTATTCCTCCAAATAAAGAGTCGTCCGGAGAATTAATTAATGAAAATTCAAAAACTTTTTAAAATATTTGTATAGATCGGTGGAATTGATCTTATATGTTGTATAAGTGCATATAACAAATTATTTTAAAGAAGTGGATATATATATGAAAATTCAAAAACTTTTTAAAATATTTGTATAGATCGGTGGAATTGATCTTATATGTTGTATAAGTGCATATAACAAATTATTTTAAAGAAGTGGATATATATATATATATATATATATATATATATATATATATATATATATATATATATATATATATATATATATATATATANTTAAATATTTGCGTTAGATGTATTTTCAGCTACTTTAATACTTTAAGATATATATATATATATATATATATAAAACTGGCTCTTGCTTGCATATTGTCATTGTCCTTATAAGTCCATATGTCGTTACATAAAAATATTACAGATGGCAATGGGGCGGGGCGGGTGTGGGGCAGGTTTGGACTAAACCCGCAAAACTTTCAACCCGCCTCGCCCCGCCCTACATAACAAATTTGTTATTTTCAACCTGCCCCGCCTAGCATCCGCAAAACCCGCCTCGCCCCGTCCCGCATAAATTATTTTTCTTTTTTCTTTCATTTTCTTATTTAACTAAGACAAATAAGTTAAACAATTGGTTATTCTGTAAAGTGGAGATATTATTAGTTACATTACTAATATACTAATAAAATTGAAGAGTGGTTTCAAAATATATTCTGAGCCTCATATTAGTTATTCTGCACTTACTAATATTCTGTAGTTGCAAAATACATAGTAATACTAGTATAAAAGAAAAACAAAATCCACGACTTTGTTATCCAAGAATTATCAATTCAATTTTTACAATCTGGAAAAAAAATTATCATACACTGAATTAATATAATTGGGTCTAGCAAAAATTTGGTTGATAATCCCACCAAATAACACAAAAAAACAGAAACAGAGAAAACAGTTTATTAGAAATAGACAAACAAAATTGGGTGAAGCATTTTAATATTAATAAGAGCAAAAAAGGGAGCAGATTGCTTTAATGGTTTCAACCCACAAACCGCACCACCCGCTTGAAATTTTTACAAAAAGGCAGTAACTGGTTTAATATGACATCCGTGTCGATTAAAAATACCTTATTTTTCTATCTTTTCTTTTCAGAGTGTTTTATCTTTCTTTTTTTTTCTTTGCTTTCCCTTTTGATGGATAGTCAATGACTGCTGGTTGGAGAATGTTTATTTGTTTTGAAATTAGAGCTATATTATAGGGAGAAATTCAAAAATAGCCAGATTTACAACTGGTCGTTCAAAAATAGCTCAATTTCAAAAGTAATCGAAATTTAGCCACTTTTTATGTAAAGATAAATCTGAGCGAAAACACTGTTCAAAATTCGAAAAATACGCCAGTATATTATGCTGGAGTTCCAGCAAGTATACTCGTCCAGCATAATATACTGGAGTTTGGAGCACCTGTGCTCCAGTCTCCAGTATATTATACTGGAGCCAGCAAAGTATACCGGTCCAGCATAATATGCTGGAGTTCATACACAGGTGCACCGAACTCCACTATATTATGTTGGACCGGTCTCTGTTGCAACAAAATAGTGGCTATTTTTCATTGACTTGGTAAACGCTGGCTATTTTTGAATGACCAGTCCGAAAACTGGCTATACCGTGCTATTTTGACTATATTATACCCCTCATATGGAGCACCAAAAAATTCTCTTATTCTGTGTAGTAACTAGTAACTGAGTACTTCGATGTGTTGATTAATGGTCAGAGATATCTTAAAATCATTAGTTCATTACCAAACAAAGCAATTTATCCATAGTAGCTCCATGTTAAAGTGAAAATTATGTCACTCAATCATAATTAAGTGATAAATGTGCATATGAATGACACGTCTTGTATTTATTGGTTTGGTTTCGATATATTATAGGTGCCGTTAAATTTCTTCAGGCATTAGTTTTTCACAGGCTGCTTAACTTATTTATTTTTATCCGTTTCAGGCGACTGTCCTTGACATAGTTTGAACTATAAATATAGTATATTCCCCAGCATATGTTAATCATAAAATCGATTTCAATCAAGATGAAAATAGTCAGATGATCCTCCTGCCTGTTTCTGGATTTTGATCTGCTACTCTATCTGAAAGATGCAAAAGATTTTGTGTATAGCTATTAAAATGGGAGTACAACTTGTTTAGCTTTTCCTGGCCATCTTTGTGAATGATAAGCATGGTAAAATCAAAATTCTTATAATACAACAATATCATTATTGACGATGTTCTACTGGTTGAAATCAAGCAGGCACAAATTAACATCTACAGAAATTTTGCAAGTTGAGAGACAGCGGCAGAAGAAATGACACCTCGAGAATGAAGAGCACCAAACTAACTCAACAGGCGAAATGCCAACATCACATTGTTACCACAATTCTGCAAACCTAGTTCTGAAAACAAATTTGCAAATGTGACTAGAGTAGATGACCAATCAGCTGAGTGTGGAAGCACATGAATATACAAAAGTTATGTTGCCCCAGCTATCAAATAATAGGATCTCGACTATATCATTGGCTGCAGCAATCATCTCGTGAGATACTAGAAGAATATACCCAACATTTGTCCGGTTCTAATTTTGTCCAATAGTTTGGGGGCAAAGGGTGGAGTTAGCTTCTGATAAAGGCACTCTGCAGAAGCCAAAAATCTCGATATGAATCCAAGAATCACAAGCACAAAATGGAGATAAAGTGACTGCATGCATTTACACAGCTAGCACGGAGGACAATAGTTCAAAGGAACAGTAAAAGAGGACTCCAACAAGCAGCAACACAATCGAGAGTACCCCCTATGAAGAAGTGCAGTTGCTGTTACAGGCAGGAAGCAGTCTTTCAGTTTAAGAATGGCTTAGCATGAATTATCTAAACATCATTATGCTTCATCAGTTTGGAACCCTGTTTCAATTTTGGCCATATCTTATGAATCGAGCAAAATCACTGATGAGGGCAAGGAGAATTGAATTGATGACTTCCACGTGACCATAAGTTATCTTTTTATCAGACGCCCAACCAAACAGGTCATCAAGAAACTTGACCTTGAGTAAGTCCAGATATTCCAAATTTAACTTCTAGAATGTGCAGAGTGATAAGAAACAATGAATGCCAAAAGTGATGAGTAACTATAGAAACTTACATCCCGAAGAACCACCTTAGGAGGAATCTGCTCATTCTTCAGCTAGCAACTCAAATTATCCTGAAAAGAAATTACAAACTTGATAAAACTGTCAGAAATATGCATCAGAGATAAAACTGTGCCAAACATATGCATCATCTAGAGATTTAAAAACAGATAAAGCAGACTAGTAACTTCCATATCTCAAGTGGCTCGAGCCTAACTTGTTTAATACTCAATATCTTGCCATTCAAAATCTGCAGTCAGTTGCAAGAATGTAGCTTTCTAGAGTATACTGGTGTGTATACAATTCATAATGAGACCTCAAATACTGATTACCACTTTCGACCCACGACAATGCAAGCAAATGTGCAACATTTTATATACATAACAACACGTCAATGCAGTGAATGAAATATGTCTACTCATACTCAGAACCTCCTAATACAGGGAATGGGACCAAAAAGAACTTAAAAGAGGGACATCTGAGAGCAATTCAGGAATCAAAAAAAATTAATACTAGGAGAAACAACCTTTTCCTGGGCTATTGTTTCTAAAACAGCTTTAATTAACTGATTAGATGTATTCTGGGAATGGAAAAATAGACTAATTAGAATATCCAAAACAGATGCCAACTATAGAACCTATTTGTGGGTACAAAAAGAGGGGGAGAGAGACTTGCACTGACATTTCTCCTGCCCAATAACAAAAACTACCAGAGCTAATCAACGAGTGCATATAAAGAGCACATTAGACAACCAAGACAATACTTACATCATTTAGAGGTTGAACCCGCAAAGTAGAATTAACTAGCATAAAGGCAGAGGACAGAAGTCAAAACTGGGAAAAATAACTAGAAAATAAAATGAGAAGATTTGACTGCTAATGTTCAAACTCGTTGCAAGATCCTTGCATGGTTCATAACACTACAAAGATAGCCTGTTTGGCTTACCCCCTAAAAGGAACTATTTGATCTGTACAAACTTTAACCAATTGTGAATCCCACCCCCTAAAAATCTACACTCACAAACTGACTGACAAAAACACCATCCTGGATATCAGGAACAATCACATACATTAATGACAGGGGACTTTGCAAAGATCATCTTCAGTGGAGAATTCTGAGTCAGCTTTGTCAAGGAGTAAATATTGTAATCCATTTCTCCCCTTAGACCAAAAATAGCAGCACTTTCTTCAAGCACTACAAAGAGAATCTCATGGCACCATTGAAAGTACTTCCAGCAACATTTTGTCTAAGAAACAGTTCGCCCATAACAGACAGATGCAAGGTAAAGATTCTTTGCCCATTTCTCCTGCAGACAGCAATATACACAGTTAGCTTATGAAATAGTAGGCACACACACAGAGATGTGGTTTTCAACGAAGAAAATTAGACAATTGGTTCAACAACCACCTTGACATGAGTGCTGGGAAAAGCAGAGGTACGAAGCGTCTCTTGCGTTTCATCAGTAGGTTTCCTTCTTGGTATACTTAGAACAAAAGCAACTTGATCCCATGTAGCTGCAGTCGCTGTGATACGATAACCAGCATCCCATCTCTTATGGATCCCTTCACTAGGATACAGAAAATCCAATTCCACTGTCTAATAATTCATAGAAGCACATGAATACTCGATTCAGAATTAGGACTATGATGCACATACCCATACATAAAAAGGAAAGAAAACGTTTAAACCTGATCAGAAAACCCAGATCCGCGAGACATAACAATTGCCCATCTACTTCCAGCAGTTGCCATGGCAGTGACATAGAAACCCTCCTTCCATTTTTTGTTTATCCACTTAAATGGAAAGGACTCGCTGACTTTGTAAGACTGCTGAAGATACTGGGTACCTGATATAAACCGCAAAATTAAATTTATCCACTCTAATTCACAGAACCACAGAAGAAACGCATGTATAGCAAGTCACTGAAGTTCCTCTAACCCTTTGACATGACAACTAAGGAGCTCCCGTTGCTAGCTCCTGCTACAGCACTAATATAATAGTTCCTCTCCCATTGCTCCATAATCCATTCCTATATTCAAACAGAAGCACATAGGATTAATCAAAAACTCTATATCAGTAAAAAATTTGAACCACATCTGAATCATGCAAGAGTTTAACAGATATAGCATATTAAATATGGAAATATGCAACATATATTTATATATTATGCTTCAAGATTGATCACATTCAGTGATAGATAAAAGACCTTGTGAAGAAAATAAGGTGATAATTTGTAAACTTGAGCACTAAATCCAGTCCCTGCATCCATGATTAGGGCCCACAAGTTCGAACAGGAGGCCACACTGCTGATAAACAGTCCATCCTCATTTCCTTTGTCAATATGCTGAGATAGCCTCTCATCAGCAACGTTATAGTGATACCTGCAACCCAGTGTTATAGTCACTTTACTTTTCACAAGCCTTAAGCGAACAAATTTTGGGCAAAAGAGTACAACCTTTGCTTCATGGGACGACGACCATTGTAAACACTAATCCACTGTGTTGCAGGCATTCCCATTCGCACCTTCTTCTTTGGTTGTTCATCATCATCTTCTTGCACTGTCAGTCTGCCTCTCTTCTGTCCGACTAGATATATAAGCTACATAGATCAGAAACGTGTTAGAGAAATCTAGCTTCCGTCAGTGATTCAACTTCAGGAGTAGCCTGGAATTAACGAAACATGCAAACTACCTTCTGTGCACCATCAGTGTTAATTGGCCTAATGTCTGGATTTGGACCTACTATTCCATCAAATAAGGAGATATATTTAGCATAGTTGGGCTCCTCATCAAATTTCAGGTTCACAACATACTCCACAAAGTGTCTAAATGGAGCCGGGCAGAGACAGCAAAGAGTTTCTGGAGAAGTTGCCATCTTTTTCTTACAGACAAGGAAACCTTTATTATCACCCTAGTCCACAAATTTTCATTATCAGAGGATAGGAGAATCCATAGTAACAAAATACTGGTATTTAGTAGAGAAAATGCATACCTGGTAACCCTGCCACGGCAACTTGGCTCGGAGAAGGAAAATGAGTGTGTAAGCAAGAGATTCTAGATCATCCCTCCGGCTTCCAGTCCGCCCAAGGTGAGCATGCACACTAGCATACCTTACAGTTCCTCTGAAGCAATAGTTTTCTAACTAGTTATTGAATGCAGAATCTAAATGCAAAATATATAGGACACCAAATATAAAGAAAAAACAAGTCGAACTGTTGATTATTGTACCTAAAGACATCAGGTCGCTGATCGTATTCAACATGTAGACCAGTTGAAGTGTCACGCCACCTTGTTGCTGCAGTATTCAAACGGCAAAAGAACAGACATTGTATTAATAGAGGAAAATGAAGATATCAAATGTAGATCAAGATTCATATACATTTTCTTTCTAGATAAGTTCCAATGAATATTATACCTAATCCAAGGTCAACCAGAAACAATTTTTTCTCGTCAGGAGTCCCAGGTGGCCCAAGAAGAAAGTTCTCAGGTTTTACATCCCCATGCACATACCTGCAAAAAAAAACAGCAGCCAGAATGACAAGACTTACTTCAGAACCAAAAAACACTGTTACTTTCCGTGAAATACTGAAATTTTTGCACCATTGTGAACACTCAACAAGATCACGTCGAGTATGGTAAAAGTAGTTCAGCACTTTGTGGATGCATAGACTTCAACACATAAATAAATGTAGTTAGAGAAACCTTTTATTCTTATGATTCATAGTTGATGACATCTACTTGTTATGACAAGACAACTTGATCTCTTCTATAACAACCAAACAACAATCCTCTGTTCAGAGCCAAGCTCCATAGATCTAGGCTATATCACAATTACACAGAACTTATAATCTCTAAAATAGAACACAGCTATCCAGACGAAGTAAGAAAACAGTCATTAACATTAGAAAGATATACTTACCCTCTAGAGTGCAACTTCTCTAATATTGAGATAGCTTCAATGGCAATGCATGCTACCATTTCAGTAGACATCCTGAAATTGGCAACATTACAGATCCAAACTTAAGAGTTTGGAGGAACAAGCATATGATATCAAAAGATAGCTCCTGAGTACAGATAATGGAAAATAGATCTCACGTATGGGAATTGTTGTTCCAGACATCCCATAAACTAGGACCAAGCATATCCATGACCTGCAATATTATAGAATATCAGTAATCTTAGTGGAGATTTGAAATGAAATGCAACTTGAAACAAGAATAAAGTAACTCAACTACATAAAGAGATCACGTACCATAATGTAGAAATCACCTTGACGTCCCTTATAATGAACACGTGGTATACCATGACTACCACCAAGGGCACTAGGGGAAAAAAAGCAAATGGCATGAATTGTTAAGATAATGTTATATCAGGTATCAATACTCGGAATAAAAAACGTACAGATATAATGATAAAATAAACTGAAGACTTACTTGTAGACCTGCCACTCATAAGGTGGTCCATAGTTACAACCTTTGCTACTTCTGTGCTCAAATTTTAAGGCAACCTAGAACCAGAAACGGACAGTATGATCAATTTGGACATCAAAGAGAGTCCTCTCCAACATATTCAGCAGAAAAGGCAAATAAATGCAAAAAGTAATGTTCCACCTCTACGGCTCCAGCGCCAGTTCGTTCATGAGGATTTGTTATATTTACACGACGACCTACATACACTTGACCAAATCCTCCTTTACCAAGCTTCTTCTCAATCCTATAAGTTGGTGATCCGCCAACCTGGACCTGTTACCCGCACAAGGAAAATAGTAAATTCAACAACTCAAATTGAATCCTTCAATTAGAAACTACAAGGAAAATTTGAACAAAAAGGCAAGAATAGCAGCAACAAAATCCTCCATGCTGACAGCATTATGAAAAATCGGGATTCTGTCCCATACAGGAGCACATATTCTTATCAGTCACAAAAGCACATTTATCCTAACAATCAACATTAATAATGACAAGCTTAACAGCATATACAGTTATCCTAACAATCATCATTAATAGTAACAGCATACTTTTTTTTCTTATCGTGGTACCCTCTTTTAAAGGAACTAGCTCAATAGCATAATTCTCATCAGAGAATCTATATTTGCATAGCTTAATTGACAAGAGAAACTAAGTAAATGCCTACCATGTTAGAGATAACAAGGCAAGTAAAGAAACAACTCGCAGATAGCACTCACGCGTCCTTTCAATCCGTTCCCTCAAAAAGACCTCAAAAAGAAAAAAGAAAACAACTTTTCATTCAAGAAAACAGGTGACAGAAAAGCAAAACAATCACAAATAAAAGAAGAGAGAAGCTACTCTGGTTTATGTAACTGTGTGTACTAAAACACCTAAAAGACTGAAGCTTTCCAACTTCATGCTCTAAATTATGCACAAAATTCATCACCCATTTTAGATGATGAGAAAAACAACCTTAGTTTCACAGCAACCAAAAACCTCCTACATCACATCCTCATCACTTAAGCATATCACTTAAAATTACCAACAAGAAAAAAAAGAGAAAAAAAATAATTTAATATAACCTAAGAGACATCTGATTCTTCATATGTTGCCAAAATGAATACTCTATTTGCCTAACTATTTAGGAAAAAGAGTTCGTTTTTGCAAGCTCAATCTTCGAGACTGTGGCAAAACAGTTTATTTGAGAAGCTTTTACCCAAAAATAACTCTTCTTGAAGATTTTCATACTCAATTTTCAAAAATGAAAATTGCAGAAAACATTTCTAAAGGATTGCTTAAAGCACGCTTAAGACTTAGAGCTCGGAGAAGCCCAGGTTGTGCACTTCACATCCCTTAATCGTTGCTTTAGTGTAGGCTTCAAGGTGCTAAGGCGTGTGGGACCTTCACCAACGAGTTCCTATCTTTAAGAGCACATCATATAGCTATAACTTAAATATAGTTTTTAAATTCTTTTGTCCAAACAACTATGTTTGTGTTTACAATTACATTTTTCTGCATTATATTTCTTATTTTTTGTTTTTTCTTCATTGGCATTTTTCTGTGCCCATGCTTTGATTGCGCTTTGAGCTTAAAGCTCCAACAAACTTTCGTGTTCTTTTGGCTTTATGCTTTTGACAACTTTGTTAGCAAAACTATCAAAAGCACGTTTCCTAAAAACTGTTTTTGCAAAAAAAAAAAAAAAAAATCAAACAAAACCACTATATATAATTAGTATCACAATCAAATGGACCTAAATGAAGCAAAATGAATAGAGTATTAAGAATTCATATTATCCACCGCAAGTGGCTCTGGTTATTAGAACACCGTACCCTTTCAGGCAATGGAGGTGTGTTGCCTTCATCCTCCGCGCCTCCTCCCAAAGCTTTATTTCCACTTCCTCCGCCACTCTCATACTCATCCATTTCCTCGCTCTCCTTTTCCTCTTCACCAGTTCTCTGCGACGACACTGTTTTCTTCACAACAACATCATTTTCAACTGCCACAGCATGCACGACGTCGTTTTGCTTCTTCTTCCCTCGCTCTTTAGGCGGCGCGTGTGGTGGTGCGTTAGGAGCAGCCGGTTGAACGTCGTTTTTCTTCTTCCTCCCTCGCCTTGTCGGCAGCGCGTGCGGTTCGTCGTTCGGTGACGGCGCGTGTTGTGGTGCGTTAGTAGCAATCGGTTTTTGACGGCCTCTGCGCACTGCGCTACGCAGTTGAGGCATAACGATCATCCATCAACTTGTTGATAACCCTAAATCGACCTTCACAGACGACTTCCAGAATCTTCTACAGGCAAATTCGGAGTTTTTGAAAATCGGAGGACATGTAAGCCCGAGAAATGTAGTGTGTGTGTGCGTGAATTAGGGTTCTGGATCAGTTAATATCTCTGTGGAGGAAAATGAAAAGTAAAAATGGCTCCACAACGGAAGTGGGTCTATATCCAGACAGAGATGGAGAAGAAAGACAAAGCAATTCTCTTTGTTTCCTTATTTGATTTTTGTAAATTGTAATTTAATTAAATATAAAAACATACATTTAATTATATAAACTCCACGGTGAAAACGTGTCCATTCAAGTCTGAATTAAACTAGTACTTACTAGTACTAGTATTCCAACTTATTATACTTTTGTTTAAGATCAAGCACCAAGTATTTTTTTTTTTTTTTTTTTACTTCGTGGGCGTTTGGATGTAAGAATTATAAAATATAGGAAAAGGCCACAAGAAAAAAGTGAAAATATTATTTAAAAATTAGAATTGTGTTTAGATATAAATATAATTTTGGACTATTTTTAAATTTTTGTGAGTGAACTGAAGTAAAAACTTTGAAAAATAGCTTTTTTACATTTTTAAAAATTACAAAATTTATCTTTAAGTGAAAATTAAAAAATCTATGATCAAATACTCATTTAAAAAAAAAAATAATAAAAGTCGATTTCTTTTTTTATGACCAAACAGGTTATATTCTTAATTAGAGAGTGGATATTTCAATTCTTAAGAAAAGGGAAGAGATTGGGTATTTTTGTCATTTGATATTTTGATCCATATAGTGTCCTTATAATTATTAGTATAAGGTTTAGATCTTCGACTTTTTCAAATTGTTTAATTTTGGTTGAAAATTTCCACTAGTGTATAATGTTTACGAGAATTATAAAGATATGCAGAACGCCAATATAAAATATGATTCACATGTTGTAAATTGTATTTTAATACAATTTGCAATTGAGAAATAGAATTTATCATAGCAATTGAGGACGACGACAACAACAACAATCATCTAGTAAAATCTCACTAGTGGGGTTTGGGGAGAGTAGTGTGTACGCAGACCTTACCCATACCCCGAAGGAGTAGAGAGGATAATGTGTACGCAACATTATCCCTACCCCGCATACCTTATCATAGCAATTGAGGAGCGACTTATAAATTGCTCTTGAGAAATGCAATATAAATCGCAATTGAGAAATGCAATTTAATGACAAAGGCGAGATATAAATCGTTGTTCCATTCGAATTATGAATCGCAAAACAAATGCGATGTGAGAATCGCAACCGACAATACGACTAATAATTCGCAATTATCGGATGCAACTTTAATACGAATAGCATTTATAATTGCAATAGATAAATGATTTATAAATCGTAAGAGATAAATGTAACTTAGACTTATAAGCGAATTGATAGGTGCATCTTATAAATTACAATTGACAAACAATACTTTTAGATCGCAATTGACAAAATACGATTTATAAATCCAGTTGATAAGTACGACTTTACGAATTGAGTAATATCTTTATAATCGCAATTGTCAAATGTGACGTAAAGAGACTTTTAAAATGCAATCAGCATTTGCGACTTACAATCTCAATCGCCAGATGCAACTTATAAATCGCGTCAACTCTGACATATTAATTGCAATAAAGAAGACTAATAAATCGAATCGGCAAATGCATTGCAATCGAATTCGACTTATAAACAGTAGTTACTGAATGCGACTTATAAATTGCAATCATTGTCCTGAACGCGACTCCTAAAGCGAAATTGCCATATGCTACTTATAAATCGCAACTATATATAATCGCAATTGAAATGTGTCTTCTATATCGCATTATCTATAATCGCAATTAGAAAATGTGACTATAAGTTGCAAAACATATTAATAGCAACCACAAAAGCAACTTATAAACGCAATTGTCAACTGCGACTTATGTTTTCTTGAAAATCGGCAAAGGTTTATCATTTTGTTCTCCCTATGTATTTCCCTCTCTGCTTTCTTCCTCCGCAACCTGATCCAAATCACCACCACCGCCCTCTTCCACCGTCAAGTCATGTCATCGAGGGTCTCCGTTACAGTATCTCAGGACGGTACCGGCGATTACTGCACAGTACAAGATGCAATAGACGCCGTTCCGTTAAGCAACAAGTGTCGCACTGTGATTCGCGTAGCTCCTGGTATTTATAAGCAGCCAATTTACGTTCCCAAAACGAAGAATTTCATCACGCTTGCTGGGTTCAATCCTGAAGACACTGTCCTCACTTGGGATAATACTGCCACTAAAATTGATCATCATCAGGTACATCTTCAATTTTTTTTTTTTTTTTTTTTTTTTTTTTTTTTTTGCATTTTTTTTGGATTTAAGTTATATAAACTGACATAATAAAGATTTCTAGAGTTTTAGTAGACGTTTGGCCATAAGTTTTGGAAAAAAATTCAAATATGTGTTTGGTTGTAAAATTAATTTTGGGAGATTTTGGAAACCAAAACTTCAAATCTCAAATATAGCTTAAGACCTCTTTTTGGGCCAAATCATGACCATTTGGGACTTTTTAACTTGCCTCACAGTTCTTGTCCAAACACATTGTCAATTTCAAATCAAACTTCACCCAAATCAGCTTTTCCCAAAAAATATTAGGAATCTACGTCCAAACGAGTCCTAGTGTATTGTAACCTGTTATAATATGTTAATCAGTATTTTTTAGAGTTATTATCAATGCTTAACTTAGAGATTACATGTCACTATTAAACTCTTTTTTCTGTTATAAATTTTAGAGACTAGTATGTGGGTTTAAGTTTCATTGTCGTTAAAAAAGGTTTT